TAGGGGATACAAAAACCAATACCAAACAAATACCCCCTCCACTAAAAATAAACTTAAAAAAAACTTTTGAAAACTTGCACCATGTAGCTTTCCACTTTATACAAACATTTAGTATTTAGATGCACATTAAAATTCAAATCCTTGCCCTAACGATTCGTTAACTATTCTTTTGGGTAATTCTAAACTACTTGTATCTTGTTAACAAAGAGAACGATTATTTTTAATCCAATGGCTTTTACTTGAAAATCGAAACTAAACGTCTTCTTCGATAACAGTGACAATATTAAATAAATGTATAGATAGGCGTATAGTTCGAAGACCACTTATTTATTGCGTGTGACATAAAATATTATCTGATGTATCATACAACCTTTTCACTCTCAATAGTCTCCAACCAAAACATTGTCAGTGACAGCCGGGACTGTTGTGGTCATTTACAGTATATAGTAGTAATATCGACCCGAACATAGATCTATAGTAGATATAATATAATATTTGTGTAGTTGTCGCATCGACTGGGACTAAGGAGATTATAAAGAGAATTACTCTGATGCCCGTGATTAGGACTCCAAAAACAGTCGAACTTGCCTTAACGGAAACCTGTATAAAGCGGAAACCTGTCTTAGCGGAATCTCCCCGCTCCCCCCTTGATATCTGTTTAATTACCTGTATAAAGCGGAAAAAGAAAGAAAATTCCGCTCCTATCCGATGGTTTCAACTGTCTAAGTCTAAGACGGAAAATGATTTGCCCGCTCAGCCCTCATTTGTAACATTCCGCCGGCTCTAAACTTAACGCCTTGACCATGACGCCGGGCGAGGAAGGAGAGTAGAGGTGCAATTTGTGGGTAGATGTTACCCCATCAGGTGGGCCTTGAGCGATGCAGATGGTCAGTGTAGTGTGGGTGTGAAATCTCACGACTGCCCGTCAGAGTGCTCGAATAGCGAGCCACTACGGAAACTTTCCTGGGTAGCCAAAAGCCAGAGGTCTGAATTTAGATTGACCAATGCCTGCTGACCTAATCGCACGGCCAGCCGAGAAAATAGTTCCTCAAATCACTGTTACATGATGGCAGTGAGGGGTGGCATTGGTTGACGGTGTTTGTTACACTGGTGGGTGGGGCTAAGGGTGGAAGCAAAGGAGATGTCCAAGCGTTTCTGTTTTTAATAGGTCAAGCAGTGGTTCTATGAAAGGCAAGCACTGGTGGTAATTGGATAAGTAAGACTGGCGCATGTCATTATCAGAAGGTATAGCAGTTGAGAAGTGTGAAGTTTTGACCTGTGATTGCCGATCGGACAAGCGATCCTTGATCCCACCGGCTGGGCTTTTGAACCCCACCCTTTTTCACCTCCCTTTAAATTCCCCTTTCTAAGGCGGAAAATGCCAAAGACGGAATTTTTTTCCAGCTCCCTTGCGATTCCGTCTTTCTCAGGTTCGACTGTATGCCTGGAGTAATAATAGTGGTAATAGTAACGACTCGAACATAATAGTATGTGTAGTATAGTAGACGTATCGACTTATTCAAGAAAGTTTCGTTTAAAGACATGTCCAGCGCGCTCACATGACCTTATGCAGTCGCGAGCGCCGTAAAACACTTACCAAAAAATATTATTTAAAAAAATAGACATGTCCACTGTCAAAGGCATTTAGACTTAGCTTTGTTTTATTGGTGTCTTGGACAACTGTTTTTGGAAAAAAATGTTGCTATTTGATTAATTTATTTATTTTTGTGGAAACAGATATAGATCTATATAATCTAGATCTACCTCTTGAGTGCCATGACACACCATGCATTTTCTTAAAAGTACTTGTGCTTGTATATTTGTGTAATCATTTGTAAATACGCTTTAAATTGTGCAAAAGAATGATTATGCCAAGCCAGTGTAAGAGAAACAGAAAAACATACGAGAGAGAGAGAGAGAGAGAGAGAGAGAGAGAGAGAGAGAGAGAGAGAGAGAGAGAGAGAGAGAGAGAGAGAGAGAGAGAGAGAGAGAGATTATTTTGAGTGTATTCTTGT